CGGTTTTACAAGGTGATGCCGGATAGTTTCCAGCATGACGTCAAATGACGTGTGATTAACCACGTGATACTGCGTGACACCACGTGATACCGCGACACGCCCACCGGGGTATGCCGCGAAATACCCCACCCATTTTGAATGGCTGCATCTGTATATAGATACATAGATTAAGATATTTAGATCCTTAAATTAATATTAGTATTAATTTATTTAGACACGTGATTACATAATCTCGATTATAAAACAGATAATTCTGGTCCTGGAATCTGACTGGCTGACACCCTTTTAAAGCAGTACCATAATCTCTGGTATACGGACGCCCCAGAAATTTGACTTTTTACTGTGTGATAAATTTTCAAGACTACTTCTTAGGGTAGATAAGAAAGTGTAGATAAAAAGCTTGGATTCTCATGTATCTGATACAAGTATCTTTTAATACAGTCTTTGTTGTGCTCTTGAGGATCCTTGTGATATTTTGAGCTCTGGTTGAATGATAAGTGTCGCAATTTAAATAATTTCTGTTGTTAGAAATTATGAAACGCTCTGTTAAAAGCAAGGGAGTTTTTATGCCCGTTATAGTAAAAAAAATGCCTGACAAAGTAGGGCTAGGACAGTTTCCAAGTGTTTGTACAAATGTGCTTAAGAAATTAGAAAAAAAAGTCATTTATTCCTTAATTCATATTGGCTAGCTAATGTCCTGTCCTCGTTTAGTTAGATCAACTAAATGCTGTGGTGTTTGTCAAAGAAAAAATTAAAAGTATTTTTGTTTAAGATGACGGTTAGAAAGAATGTGGAGCAGCGTAATACTTTGAGTTTACAGCTTGTCCAAAGTCATTCATTATTAATACTATTAGTAATATATTCGGTAAAGGCTTTGATGCATAAAATATTTCTGCATAATTAAAATATTTCTGATAAAGGTAGGTTGTGTACTTTTGTCCAATCTTACTTTCATAAAATATACCAACTTTTTAATGACTGATGATTAACAGCTGTAATACACAGTTTATATTTAAAAACTCAAAAGCTGTACATGAGAGGTTAAGCTTTATTGGCTCCTCCTGGCGGTTTTACAAGGTGATTCCGGATACTTTCTGGTATGAAGTCAAATGATGTGTTGCACCGTGTGATACTGCGTGATACTGCTTTTTAATGCGACATGCCCACCGCGGTGTACCATGAAATACCCCACATGTTTTGAATGGCTGCATCTTTAAACCACTTAAGGACCGTTCCACATAGGCCAACCTCACACTCAAGCCTGTGTAGCAAAATACAATGGTCATCTGTGTCAATGGCAGCACTAATATCTAGGAGTACAAGCACTATTGCATTCCCTGTGTCACTTGCTAACATAATATCATTTGCAACCCTTGTTAATGCAGTTTCAGATTGGAAGTTCTCAAGTATATTATTTGAATCCAGAGAAGACTGAAGTTGGTCCGCAACTATTCTCTCAAGAATTTTAGATAAAAATGGAAAATTTGAGATAGGTCAGTTGTTGTTAAGTACTTGTGGATCCAAATTTGGTTTCTTAAGCAGTGGTCTAACAACCGCTAACTAAAATTGGTCAGGTACAACACCTGATGTGAGGGACGTGTTCATCATACTAATTATAGGTCCTGTCAGTACTTTGAGGGAATCTTTAACTAGAGTGGGTGGGATGGGATCTAGTGGACAGGTGGTTGACTGTCTTAATAATTAATTTCTTGAGTCCTTGTTCATTAACTTATTGAAAAACACTGAAAAGGAGCACACATGGATTTTGTACTAGACTAGAGTGTCTAGTGGTTTTGATTACCTTAGTCTTTAACATGGCTATTTCATCAAGGGCCTGTCTGACCACTGTATTATAGTTGTGTGTGATTTCGTCAACATTAGTACTGGAGATGAAGTTAGCATTATTTATCGTATTAAAATGTTTTAGATAAGTACCCCTACTGATGTGCCGTGTCATAATAATCTTCTCCATGGCAGCTACAGAGAGTAGTCGAAACTCAAAGGTAATTAAAAAGTGGTAAAAAAAAAGTTATCTATGGGAAGGACTAATATACTGCATGATTAAGTGGTTCAGGTGGGTAGCTGCATCAGCATGCGTAGGCTGCAAAGGAACAAGTAATAGGCTTATTCCATGCTGAAAAGAGAAGAAAGAAAACATGACCAAAACATTGTGTTTTATTTTTTCTCTTTTCAGCGTGGAATAAACCTATTACTTGTTCCTTTGGAATACATGATGAATATTATCTTTATAATTAAGATAATTAAGTCTAGTGTATGATTGTATACATGTGTTGGTCCTGTTATATGCTGACTATGCTGACTGTTAAATGATATTAAACCACAACCAACTGTAAGGTACCAAATTAAAGACTTATATTTAATTAAAATATTTATGATGAAGGTGGAAGTACAGTTGTCCAACTGAGCAATCTTCCTTTTATAAAATATACCACATTTTTAAATCAGTTTAATGTTTAACATGCTGTAAAACAGTTAAAATGATAAAAACAACTTAATTCTGTAATTGGAAAAGGATTCTCCATAAGCACTGACCGGGATTTGAAACAAGGCATTTTCTAGTGACGGCTTAAATACTACACATGAGACATTAAGCTTTATTAGCTCCATCTGGCGGTTTTACAAGGTACTTATTTAAAAAAACATGCAGTATGTTCCAGTACGTACACCGCGTTGTACCGCAGCAACTTCGCTCATTTTAAATGGCTGGATCTGTAAAAACAAAAGGAGTCCTGTTTAGTGGGCTTTAAGCTCATCCGAGGTTTGTAAAGCTGCCTCATCTATAATGCCCATCCCAGATTACAATGGAAGTAGAAATGAGACCATTTGATTAAAGGCTCTTGTTATTGTGAGATTGTTCTTGCTTAGTATATTGGCAATATACAATTTCTTGTATGAGGAATTTGTCTTTTCATATACTCCAACTTGCTCTCCATGAGACACACAGAAAGGGAGAGAAGCTTGGGGTCAGAGCACAGGGTCAGTGATTCATATGGCACCCCTGGAGCAGTTGGGGTTAATGGCCTTGCTCAGCGGCCCAACAGAGTAGGATTCCTCTGCTGACAGCGGGAATAGGACCAGCAACATTCCAGCCACAGACGCAGATCCTTAGCCACAGAGCCACGCACCACTCTGTTAGTATTATTATTCAAGTCTGTTTTGAGACATTTTTCAAAACATTGTGTTTTCTTTCTTCTCTTTTCCACATGGAATAAACCTATGACTTGTTCCTTTGCAGCCTATGCATGCTAATGCAGCTCCCCACCTGAACATTTTTAAATGTTTTTAAATAATGCTTTAAATGTCTTCCAGTCTGAAAAAGTTCAAGAAAAAAATGCTTAACATGTAATTTAGTTAGAAATTA